TGGCTGACCTACTGCAAAAACTTCAGTGAGGCGAGCAACAGCAACTAAGCTCCGAGCAGAACCAACACATCACAATGTGCATCAAACTCCCACAGATCTTGAGAATAGTCACGACCCTCCCCGCACAGAGCACTCAGGACCAACGAGGGATCATCAACCTCACCGTGTTGTCTCGGACAATCTCTTGTCACCGAGATACGGAGAGACATGGTACGTAGCGAATTGCCCACGTGGGTTAGCAGAGCTCCCAAGGCCCTCAGCTTGACAGTGCAGGGTAAACTCAGTGCGGATCAGTGGCGTGCCGCATGCACCATTAACATGACCATAACCCTTGTACGACTCTGGGGTGGTAAGAATGGTGTAGCCAAGGCTATGCTAGATAATTTTATGGATCTAGTCACTGCCGTCGAGCTTGGTTGTATGTTCATCATCTCCCCTGGCCATATTGACCAGTACAAATTTTATATGCTGCGCTATCTCGAGAACTTCAAGGACCTTTACAAAACCATACGACTGGTTCCGAGCCATCACATTGCTCTCCACCTCGGCAAATTCTTGTGTTCCTTTGGTCCTGTCCATGCTTGGAGGGCTTTCGCATTCAAGCGCTATAACTATCTCCTCCAGCGTGAGAACACGAATGGCAAATTTGGTACCTCTCTCTCTCTCTCTAATCTTTATATCTCAAACTAAATCACTGAGTACTACAGGCGAGATCGAACTTACGATGATGAATCACACTTTCCGAGTAGCAAATGTGCGCACGCTCATCCAGGAGGAAAACATCCGCACTGTTGTCTCTGAGATGGTCGAGGCATACAGCAACTTCACAGGCAAAGATAGGAGAGGCACTCTCGCATTCGCGATGTGCTTCAGTGGGACAAAACTGTCACTGCACAAGGTCAAACCCACCCGACCTTGAAAGAGGTCATCCTTGAGGATAAAATATATTCTGCCTTGCTCCGGTTGATCGACGCTACCAGGGAGCATTGTTATGTTGCTGAGGGCACACCTCATTCGTCAGAACAGCTTTTTCTCAGGCGCAAGGCGGTTCTATCAAATTGTATCCTTATTGGCGGCATTTCTTACCGGCCCTCAAATTTCTCCCATTGTGATAGCAACATCGTATTTCGGAGCGCCTCGGACTCAAAACCACAGCCTGGTCGCATCATCAAAAATTCCTTCACCATCGGTATTCACTAAGTGACTGTATTGTCGAAGAGACTTTCTTAGTCGTCCATCCTCTGATTCCATTGTCAGACATTGATGTCCCCATGATCCCTACCATCAATACCCTATCCCAGGGGGTTTCTTTGTTACAACCGGTATCATAGCGATTACTGTATCATTCGACCATCTGGTGTTATTTGTCATTTTGCAAAGACAACCATGCACGTTCATAATATATGTGAGCCCTGCGTACATGTCCTCCCGTTAGACCGTGTAGGTGCACCAGTGACAAGTGATTTTTACCTATTACTGATTGGACTAGTTGTTGAGGTCTGCCGAGCTCCCAGAGCTAGAAGTCCACAACGAACAAGGTATCGACATGTCCGAAGTGTCGCAATGAATTGAAGGCGAACGTGTTTAGAACGAGATGACATGATGATGGGCACTGTATAAGCCATTTTGCTCAATGTCTTTTGAAACAGTCCAGAACGCGTACTCAGCGCTGCATGTCCAGCAGAAATAAGCAGTAGGCAGCTAGAAAATATGAATTCTTTGCACGAAACAAGGACAACTAGTCGGGTATTCTGTGAATTACAGTCGATTTTACTTAAAATGCGCATCAAAAATCTCATACCTCCTACTCGATGCCTCCGGTGGTCACCAAACTGTCCACCAGCGCTTCATATGAAATCAAAATGCCTGCAAGACAGATCAGCCAGGCATAGGACGTGTCTGAAACACTAGAGATGAGTCAAAGCATCGATGTCTCGACAACAGAATGAGACAATTTGGAGAATGCTATGGTTGTACTGTCAATGTTACTTGTTCTAGTGTCAACTCCGATTGACTGACCTGTCGAAAAGACATAGGAGAACATCATCGTTCATGAACATGCATTGCCCTGGAAACATGTATGGTGCAGTGAGAAACTGAGAAAATGTTCTCCAATCTTATCTCTTGCAGTAATCAAATTTCAATTAGACACGTATAATCTACATCACTTGAACTTAGAGATCGGTACAAATGTCTCTTATCATGGTGATTCTTATGGACGCATCTTGCATAAAAGATGTATCTCCTTTCAACAGTGTGAGGTCGTACCGAAAATGCCCAGTTCAAGATCCAAATTGCAGAATCTAAGGGAATAAATCCCTTGACTCGCCAAACGCTCTCCTTGCTTAGAGAGGCAAGAGCACTCTCGAGCATACCCTTATCCACATCCTCCACCTCATATGTGAGGTGCATGATTCTCTATCATGATGTTCATGGTTGTGACAGGTCGGCAGGAATCCCCGGTATGCTGTGAGTGTCTTTACTTCATGATGATGATTTTCGATACCCTGGGGAATTAGGTCTCTGAAAAGCTTAGAGTCGATACCAAAAAGAACGTTTGGGTCCACACCGTTACGATCATTGCACTTGATCTTGGGAGTATCGAGATTTAGAGTATTAAGATTATCATCAGTATGTCCAGAGCTCGTTCATCAAGATGCTCGTGCTTGTTCTAGGCAGTTGTATAAGATTGCCTCATTATAACGAGGGAGATACGTACGATAAGAATAATATCCGAGTAGCTTGCCTGCATCTTGGCTGTGGGAGAGGTATCTTCGTACCTCGTAAAGTTCTTGGCATCAATAACAGTAACTATTGCGTCAAGTTGAAGGTCGTTGTTTGTCTGTCGCTCAAACTCACGGATCTGGAAATGCCAGGTGCGGCAGGAAAACGGATCCTCTGACTCCATGATAGTGAGTACCAAGCTAGGGAGATTTGGATAACTTACGAGCATTCAATGATGATTCGGTCAGGGCGGTATTTGTCTTATATAAGTGTGGTAAGGTTATGTTAAGTCAGACTGCAAATACCCTCGGGTCTCACGAAGGGCCCGTTTCCATCTGACCGACGAGTATGCAGCACCTACACATGATACGGTTGGATTAGGAAATGCAGTAAGATGATGAGTGTAGACATACATGCAAACGTTCAAGATCTCACTGACGGCAGTCAAACGATTGTTTAGCCGGCTGGCTATCCGCTGAAAGGTAATGTATATTCCCTAAATCTCCAGTGATCGCAGCAATTATGCACACCTTGGATGTCTCCAAACTCATTCTTGAGTAAGACCATTTGGGAAGTAGTGGAAAGAGTGACAAAATAATAGAAGTCTTTCCTGCGCCAAGAAATCCAGTGAAGATAGTGATCGGTATATGGTGGTTGTCTTGAATCCATCTTTGGCCCTTGGGTATCGATCGACAGAATGTGTGTTTATATTTGGCCGACATTTGATTAATCAAAACCACGTGACTGACGGAATATCGAACTAGTGACCTTCAGTAGACGCGAACGATGTTGAACTATTACTGGCCATGGTGGGTCGCAAGCAGCCGCCTACTAGCGTACCTGGTGTGAGAGCTCAACGACTTGTTATCAATGCATCCCATGTTGCTGCATTGCATACGTGCCTCATGCGTTCGGCCTTGCCTTGTTATTCGGCTGCGCACTGCACTACAAAAGAATGGGGTTGCTGGATACCCTGACAAGTGATTTCCATCGGTATCAGCCACGTATGTACGTTCAAGTTCTGTTAGCTCGAATATTGAACTCAGACATTTTTTTTCAGAAAACGCAGGCTGCACTTATGCTCTCTCGAGATGCACGAACAGTCATAGGTTTCATCTCAGATGTGTACTTGTGTGCGTGTCGTAGTCCAACGGATTACACAGTCATCGAATTTACCACCTTTACAGCTTACTTGTTTTGGTCCATCTTCACGTCCCTTATCACTACCCTGTTCTATTTCTCCACCTGGCGACTTGCACTTTCAGGCTCGGAGTTATCTTTGCTCATTCTGCTTTCCCCTATGCTTTTGGGCATCAAGCCGTTGTGCACTTGGGCGCTTATGCGCAGTGGTCAGGTTACGTTAAGGGCAGTGGCGATTCTGACAGACTTAGGGTCTTATGCCTTGAAGAGCCCCATGCAAAGGTTGATTGTAGTCGACTTTGCGAATGTGGTGCTCCTGGTAGGGCAGACCGCCGACTGGTCAGCTAGGAAGGATGGATATCAGGGTTTGCATGAGTATCAATTGCGTAGTGTAATAGCAGTGACGACTAACATGGTGTAGTCCTTGGTCTAGGACTTGTATTACTTTCTCTGGAAAAACACGCGAATCACTTCTTTGTGCCATCCAGTTCGACATTGCGTGTGTTATGAAACCCATAGGAGTAAAGTTGCACGCACATCTCATCATGTCGCACCACTGCTGCCCTGTAACAGAATCGAGTGATGTAGCCGGTGTCTGTTCGATGTGATTTGGAGGAGGATACCAGCTATGTAAAAGACATGCCTCATGGGTGATTCGGAATCAATTCAAACTTCAGCTTCATCCGTCAGGCCTTGTTGTCATGTCTATGGTGATGCAGCTCTAATAAGCTATGTGATCTTTCTGAACTCGGAAGTATGCCATTCTCTAATACTAATAGGACAGGAAGTTTATCAATTCATGACGCATGCAGGTGACCCTGTTTTGAACTTGTAAATGTGATGTACCAAGGATTCTCTGTCATCTAAGTCACGAAATGCCAATGCTGTATTCCAGAAAATTTGTTCTCTGACTTTGGGATTTTGAGCTGTATCTGAAATAGGCCTTTTTGTGAAGGAGCATTGCAAAGAATCCGTTCTAACAATGAATTCTCCATCCCACGTGCGATAAGTCCCTATGGAAACGACTACATGTTGAACCTCAGTGTTTTATGCACTCATTATCTCGCAAAGATATTGAAAGTCATCAGATTGCATCAAGCATTAATGTACATTCGGTGCGGCGAGAATCCATCACATTCATTGTAAGCAAAAGGCCTAAAAATCATCTGTGTAGCATAAGCTTGCGCCTCTTAAATATCTTCATATGAGAGCATTTGCCAAGGGCATTGAAATCCGAAGTTGCCAGGGACAGTAAAGTCCTTCCAAGCATCCGCGAGCATTTCCTCGGTGAGCCCAGAACCACGCTTGGGGTCGTAATACGACCCAGTCGCGATATGCATGAAGCACCAGAATACCGCAGGAATTGGGAGATAAATATGGAAAACTACTTCCTTTATCTGGAGAGATATCCCATGTGCCTGGAGGCAATAATATTTAATGTCATGGAGGGAAGTTTGAAGATCTCCAACAAAATCGCTTACCTCAGGCGCTTTTGATTGGTGGAAGGTGTCGTTGGCAAATCCAGCATCAAGTGAATGGACATGGACAGTGTCCCCAAACTTAATTAGCAGCCAAGCTATGACAATCGCGCATTGGTGAGAAATGGAGAAGGAAAGTTCAGGCACACTTACGATGCTGACCGATCCTTTCAGGAACAACCATGACAACTGAGGCAGATTGCGGGGGGCTTACAGGAACATCTGTATTAGCCCACATTTGAACAACCGCAGCATCAACAGTGGCAAAGAGGATATTGACACTGTTGGATATTGCGTCAAGTGATGCTGTACAAGTGAGTTGAAAAAGCAAGATAAAACTGACCGGTTGAGGAGGTCAGACATTGTCACTTGTCAGTGAATTTGAATCTCGCCGCAATGCTTATATATGCTTCTTGAAGTCATATCAACAAAGGCCTCTGTAATTTTTGAGGTGAATTTTCAAATGAGGTTGCATTAACTTACTTGAAGGACCCGAAATCAGGGCACTGGCATAGAGGCCAAATCGATTCCAATCGTAATCGCTGGAGTCGCTGCCCCTTTGTTTACTATCTCGATTTGAGATTCAAACTTCTGTGACCTGAAGGAAGGGTATTTTCGACTTGGAATCAGTAGCCGCTTCGCTCTTTGTATGACTGCCTCAAGCCTGCCAAACTAGTACACGTTTAACTGAAGCGAAGGCTGTGAACGTGCTGCATCATGGCTTGTGATTGATCTGGATCACTATGATCTGATGCAAGAAGCTGATTGGGAACATACAGATAAGCGTCCCAACGAGTTGGGTTGGTGGAATGTCTGAATTTTGAAGTACCTCGTTCTCACGCGGCGTCGGAGATGAAAGAATCCGAGTCGTGATGCTGGCATTATGCTGCTTCATCATGGGCATTGAGAGCTATGGCTCGTGGTATAATCCTGAGGGTTCATGAGTGTGTCTACTAAGTATGGTGATAATGGATGACACTTGTACAGAGAAGAGAGATAGCTCCGAGGACGACGATAAATTATATAGAACTTGGACCATCCATCGGACATGACCAATCATTGGGTGATGAAAAGATTTCCTAGAAAATGGATGCCATCCTAATAAATATATATATAGCAATGATCCAAAGACAGTGTCACAGAGGGCTATTCAATATTACAACTACATGTACAGGCCAGAATTTCGAATAATACTCTGTCAAAAAATGTGATCATTTTATCTGGGCGCATGGTGCACGTGACCATGTTACTCCAGCGGATTTCTCAACGAGGGAAAGACTTGCATCAATCCTTTGCTACTTTCAAAGCACATAATGAATTTCAAGTGTCGATTCGTTCATTCAGAGATGCCTGAGATGACGTGTGAATAATTCACTATTACAATCTAACCTCATAGCACTCACACCCCACTGGCACTATGAAGGTTCATCTCCCATAGCTTTGATGCAGACTCTATTTGAACATTATACTTATCATAGTTCGCCTATGTGCCCACCCTCTTGCGTCCATTGCTGGCCCCTCCATGTGTGCGGGGAGAGTTACACCCTGGCGACTTCAGATATTCCTTTGGACCAAGTTCCTCGCATATACGTGTCTTTTATGCATTTACTCTCATCCCAGGGCGACCTGGAAGCGGTGTGTATTGGTACTGAGAACGGGAAAGATAGAGAAAGCTGTGAATGAACTCGCACAATTATTGTGAACCTGCAGCCACCTTCTGTGTCATGTAACCTGTGCATCTCCATTCGTTATATGTCTTCTTTATCGTCTACTTGCACAGGTACGATACTCGCGGGTACCTCTGCGTTATGTGACCAGTGTGTCTCCATTCCATGCATATCATTACACGCCTTATTCATCATCCACTCGCACAGGTACGATCACCTTCTCAAGGCACTCTCACACATCCTATCCTCCAAGCTACCAAAACACCTCACACCCCTGAACAACTTTTTCTCATCATCAAGTTGTCAGTCACCTTTGCTGGTATAACTGACGCTGCAACTCTCGCAATTCTTGCTGCGTGGGCGTCATGAATATACACATGTCCTCCCTCTGTACGGCTGCACTAACATTTCATTTTATCATTTAGCATGCGCCTCTAGAGAAGGTGGACTTGAATTAGGGACTGTTTATAGTGCGTGATGCGCTAAGGTCACGTCCCACACGCATTGCACATGGGTATACTGTAGTTGCAAATTCTACCCACGATTAAATATTAAATGCTCATAGTCTAACAGATCATATCGGTCATGCTTTCTCCTTAACTTCCAGTAAATCAGCGGCCGGCTTGACAGCTTCGAAAAGGGTTTCTGTAAGTTGTCAATATGTGATATCCGAGGGCACGAAACTGACGTGAGAAATTTGGGTGCAGTGGCATTCATTTGGACCGGATGTCTTTCACTTTCTTGTCAGACAAATGGAGGTCCCATTGAGCTTGAGGTTTCCCCTTGAAATTGATGCGTACGGCCGCTCATTTTTCCATTATTAAATGAACGTGATGGCCAAGCAAACACGAGCATCAAGCCATCTATCGATAACTCACTCCATGTCTGTCAACGAGTCAGTCGTCTCTCCACATGAAAACGATAGTCGCTCAGCACTCCACCTTGAAGTAGAGCGTCCAATCTCATCTGTAAGTATGTGATTGCATGAGTCATATGGCCCCCCTGACGATGCTTTTGCTTCAGATTGAAATGCCGGTCAATGTTGGTGGTACAACGCAAGACATGAATGCAGGTCTGGTCACTCCTTTCATACTTGTATTGCTTGGGGACAACCCCATACAAAGCAGTTGTGGGTTTCACCAACGTTGAAATGTAAGGCCTTTCTGAACCTCGAGCTTTAAACTCATTCACAGTTTGCCCCTAGTGTTGCTTTGCCGTAGAGCAGTACCCTGATATCCCCTGCATTGCCAGAGCAGACCCCAATAGTAGCGACAGTGAGAATATGAGAAAGTCTCTTGCAGGCAATGAAGAACAATCGACAAAGAAATACGGTGATCGGCATGAGATCTGGGACCGGAACTTAGCTGTAGGCGGTGAAGTACCAAAATAGTCCTAGAAGGTTCCTGGAAGAGTATTGATCTAGTTCGATATATCACAATTATGTACATTTTTTGTTTGAGGTCGGCGGATGAAGCGAAAGTGTTCTCGATGTGAATTGGAACTGTAAGTCCTGCTGTTTGGATGGAATCATTGTTTTTTTCACAGTCAAATGATGGGGCAAGCCCATGGCCCAGAACCGAGTCACATTTGTGTCGAATATTGGGAAACATCTGTTGCATTGAGTCTACGGTAAGCATCCTTATTGCGGCGTTCACTTTTGTATACCATTGTGATCGACTTTTTTCAAGCAATAACTCTGCAGAGTTGACATAAATAATTTCTTGGCGAACATGATGGCTGCTGCCATATTTATTGTTTTCCGGCGAGCACTACATCGACATCCAAATCTATACGTCAAACACGAGGGAACACGTAGCACACTTCAAGGGCCAGATTTCAACCTTTCACTTCTGCGGACACCTGATGTGGTCCCTGATTGCCATGCGCGCCCTACCCATCATCCGTTTCAAAGTTTCAGACATCAGAAGTGAGCCTGCAGGCCCTGTGTGCTTCGTTCCCCAGGAGCCTAACTTGAACAGGAACAGATGGACCGAGCTATTTATAATATTAAGGAAAAACGGCGACGTCAGCGAGTTGTTTTCTGTAGATGGGTCCTTAATGTGATCATCAAAGGGTAGTTGCTTCGCCCTTTGTATGCGCAATCAAATTCCCAAACTTAGGGTCCCCTTCAATTCGGTGTAGGGATTCATTTCTGGCTAGGCTTGTGGAGACTGTTTTTACCTTACCTTATGTTGGCACTTTGTAGCTTACATAAGAAAGTTACCTTTTCACCAGTTACCAGTATGAGTCAGAGTCTTCAGCAGTTTTTATGACATTTCCCCTCCTCTGAGCCTTGAGCCTGGTCCAGAAACCCTTTAGGGTCGAATAGCAGCTAGGTTCTCAAGACCCAACATTGTTCAGACTCACCATCTGAATTGTTGTACCTTCATTGGGTCCTTCGACTCGTCTTCGCCGCCGCTCTCTCGGTAAAGGACATGTATTCCCTTCGGCTGATTGACTGATTCGGAGATGTGACCAAAACTTTCACAGAATTCTCGAAACTGTGTAGCACGTATCACGATGCATGAAAAAAAAACAAAGGATGCATACCACACTGCCACATATGGCAATTCATGCTGTATAACTAGTATCTATTGTGGCTACGGAGGATAGGAATTTGAACAATACCCGCGCAGTAGACTATCCTCGGGATCATGGCATCATCCAACGCGATTATCGACGAAGACGTGAATATGAATGATCCCTTACCGTTGGAAACCGATGAAAATTCAAGGATTCTTGGTAAGCGGCATCGAGACTCGGAGCGCGGAGAAACCTCAGAGGATGATTCGGAAGACCAGGTACGGTTCTGCTGCTCAAGTCATGATGGTGATTTACAATTGTTTGTTGCAGGAATATGTGTTGGCCATGACCAATCCTGATGCCAATAATTTGATGGTTGCGGAGTCCTCTGTATGTTGCCGAGTGGCATAACTCGATGCATCGCTAACCTGGATGATTATAGCGAAGTGGTTCAAAGGGTAAGCAACCGGAAGAAGTCCACCCTAAGAAGAGACCTAGGAGCACCGACGACAGCAATGTAAGAAGCATACTTTGGCTTAGCAGAATATTCAATGATTTAATGTAGGTTCTATCTACGGCTTTTTCCAGTGGTCCCAGGTGCGCTGTCTCTCAAATTTTCAGCAACATCTATGCCAGACAATTCTTTATCAGTAGCCCTTCAGTACTCAGTGGTTCTTCATCTCATTCTGATACCATCTTACATGATACACAACTGGCAAGTCGAGATTTCAATGTGCTTGGCGGTAGCTGACCATTTTGGTAGACTCGCCATGGACGACAGTCTGTGACATTCTCACCCCAGGTTCAAATCGTGTCTGAAGCAGGTCGCATCACTGCCACAGAGCCATTGGCCTCTGAGTCTGAAGCTACAGAAACTGGTGATGAAAGAGGCGGCGCAGTCCTATCAGATTGGCTGCCCACTACAGGTGACACCAACCTTCCTGCTGATCAGAATTCACTCGCAACTGTCGACGACCGGATTCATTCACAACAACGCCTCATATTGGCGCAAAGTGACAATGACCTTAACGACACAGATAGGACTGACAAAATCTGTTTGGAGACAAACGAGATGGACACTGACCCGCATGGAACTGGGCGTTATCCCTGGGATCAGCCATGCAGGCAGCGTACAGTGGGCTCAGTTGCTTTGATAATTGACTATAATTAATGTCCACTAGTTTGTTCCAGCGTCCAAGGATGATCTAGATACAATGAACACCTGGCTGGGTTGCATAGAAACTCAAATCACCAACTTCAGGACTGCTGTGGAGTCTCATCACAGCTCATCTCGCAATGAGACTCCTGATGACATTGCCAATGACACGGATACAGAAGAAACTTCAGCTCCACGGCCGTTTAAGAAAACTGGTCCCGTGAAGCATAGATCACAATGGTTAAATAGGTTTCATGTTAGTCTTTCATGTGGTGAATGGTATTGAGTAGCTAAATGGGCTATAGGAACTTATACGTGACCACACTTGAATTCTGATGAAACGAACTGATGATGAAGCACCCTTTACAGGTGTAATACTTCCACATGAGGCTTCTCTCGCCGACTTCGACCCTCGCTGCTGTCCTTGTTGTACTGCAGAGAACTTCAAAATTGACATATTAGGCACGCCCAAGTCCAAATGGAATATATCCGCTACCAAAGTGTTTGCGCGTGATTTTGTCGCTTACCATCCCAGTTTCAATATCGATTCCGTCCAGACTGTGTTTTCCACACATTTAAGATCATTGAAGCGCTCCTTTAAGCAGGCAGGACTCGACAACGTCGCATCGAGTGCACGTCAAAAAGAAGACCGGAGAAAGGAACACAAGCGTTCGGTATGTATTTGTGTTATGATAATTGGTTGTTATCTCCAACGTGTTTGCAGTTGTATCACAGACGTTTGGACACCGCCCATGCAGTTTCAGACCTACACCCACACATCACAATGCTCATGAGAATTGGTCCTGACGGGATGAGCAGCGACGAGACAGCCAATGAGAATAATGTCCCTCAATACCGTATACTTGGAAGGCACTGGCACAGTCTGGAAGTGACTGCTTGGCTACAGGTATTTGATGTGATGTACCGTCATAATCGCTGGGGCCCTGCGGGGATTGGTTCACGCGGCAACAATGCTCAAATGCGATTTGAGTCCATGTCCATGGGTCACCCACAGAGGGCTGTCCGTCGACTTCCTCGTAACACATACCGTGCTGAGTGGTATGATAGTCTCGATCAATATGACCGCGAAGAACTTGACAGGTGTGAGGCTGAGGTGTATGCCTTCACGCATGTTCCTGGCATTCAGCTGTAAGTTTTCGCTCTTTTCATGCAATTTCAACTTTCATAGCCTTATGCTATCATAGGGCTGCACAGAGGCCAACCAGCGAGCCAAGTCATCTTTGCCACTACACGTAAAACACACAGCTCTGCAGTGAAACATGACATTATAGAATATACATATTTACGCATGTAAAGTTGGACCTAGACCTCATACATAAACATTTTACAGGTCTAGATTATTGAGGGAAGGGTTGGACTTATTGTGGAATGTGCACTTTACATGGTCATATCTAGATCGAAGAGGAAGCGCTGAAGGTTCAACAATACAGATCATAGTGACGCTTCTGGAATAGACAATGACCAGGCAAAGGTTCACTACCTCACCAATATTTTGTTGATATTTGTTCTCGTTCTGGCGAACATGCATGAAGAACAAGGTGTTCTCTCTCAACAGAAGCCGTTCTTCAGATTCTTCTCCAGTCTCATTAGCGACCTGCACTCCATCGCAGAACATCTAGACTCAGCTTCGTGACCATCGCCTATACCCTTCTGTACCCAGCCCTCGCATTCTCCAGAGTCGTGTCACACAGAATCTCACTACCAAACTAGTCCACCACAGCTGGCCGTAGTGCTTCCGCCTCATTCCCGCCCCATTGGACCTGGCCATGCATCACATATCAGCCCATCCATTCCTATTGCACTTCCTCCTATTGCGACGCTGTCACCTACATCAAGCATCCCTTCGCCATCTGATGACCGTATGATTCTCGACTCGAACCATTCTTCTACTCCTCCATCACGAGGAAAGCTTTCTGAGGTCATGAACCCAGCAGCAGGCTCATCGATGCGGACGATGTCATGGTATAGAGTTTTACAATGCTGACCAATCATGGTTAAGCTCCCACGGTTGAATTCAACCAAGTGTGCAACTTCAAGTCCGCGTTCAACGATATGGACTACCCCCAGCCGCTGCTGTTTACCAACGACGACTCAATCAAATCTCATCTTCATGTTGCCATGTCTCTATGTTAAGCTTTGCAACTCGATTCTTGGTACCTTGAACCTTCGAAACCATAATCGAGTCACCAACAAGACACGCCTTTGACAATCGCCTCGACGTCATCTCACTATTTGATCCGGACATGTTTGCCTCGCCTCTCGTCATCTCTGCCAGCGCTCTCGTTGTAGAAGGCACATCATAAGTACTTGTTTCATTGTCATGATTTTTGATTTTTGATTTTTCTTGTACTCTACGCGGCTTCCATCTGATGTTGCCATTGTTTTGGATCAGGTTGATATCCCTCGCACTCAGGCAACAGTCAACAGTCTCATGGCCTGTTCTTGTGGCCGTCAACTATCATTTTCAAATTCATGAAAGTGAGTTTGTTCAATTACAATTTCCTCCGACTTTCTAACTCATCCTGTTGCTAGTCACCATTTGACAGCCGTGCTCCTGGTATCGACTTATGCTTGTGCGTCCGTCAGCTGTGAAATTCTATCTAATTGCATTAACATGTTCAGTGCCTAGTGCGCCTCACAGTTCTTGGGTGTGATTCTTGTTGGACGCGGTTTCCTAATACCAGTTGTGTATGTTTCACACTTTCAATTTTAAACCTGCTTCAACTATTTTCATTAGCGTCATGAAGAACATGTCGGCACCACAAGTACGGATGAGTTGTAGTGCGTAATACCATGAATATAAATATGATTGATGTTTTGCACTCAACCGAAAGTGACAGAATTCAACATAATCTTGATTTTTGGAAATTTTATTTTCAGGGTTCATCTCTTAAATTCTATTGTTCGTGCTCTGTGCATTTCTTGACATGATGATCGTGCTGTAAGGTAGGGCCAGGGCTTTGGAGCTTTACAATCGCGATGGTCTTGCACAGTTTTGAAACCCCGTGGCCGAAATGCCACCATGCTGTTGCTATCCTGTCGAAAAATCAGTCTTGAACAGGTCGTATGTTGACTGGATTTTGAGAATTTTCATCTTTTTGAACCGCACGTGAGTCAACTTTCTGAATGAACTGTAGACCCATATGACCTTGCAGTGCTGTCTCAGGCCCAAGGTGCAAGATCTAGAGCACCGATGCCTGCCTCAGATGCAACAATGACCAGTGGCGCAACATCCGTACCTGCAACTCACGAACAAGAAGTGATAGTATTGTGGGTGGGTGGTGATGAAAGGGAGATGTTATTGAAAACCATCAGGGCAAGTGGCCCCCTTGCATCACTCCTAGTCCTTGAGCTTGACCAAACATACAGAACCGTCCCTTCAATCGCCGGAGGTTTTCTGCTCAATTCCAACGCAGCATCAACCAAGAGAGCAGGAAAGTTGTATACAACGTCAAGCAAGTCGATGATTTTTTTCTTTACTTGACGAAGCTAATGTTGTGGTCATAGAACAACAAAGGCTACCCATCCATATTGGGATCAAGCAGCCTCGACATCACAGCAGATCTTGTCTACACCCTTAACTGTATTCGACAATGCACGGGAAGATCCATGACTAGTAAAACTTTCGCATCATCGAATGTCGCACCCCACCTCAGGTGTCCAACACTTTGATGCTGGTCCAATGGAACATCCTGATGCGAATTCCACAGGGGCACGGGTTCCGTTTAAGGTTTCCGGGACAGGATTTTTGAGTTCTCCAGGTATGTGGATGACAATACTGTTGTGAAGCTTGACAGGATATATTGCTCACAGAGTCTACACAGATTCTATAGACCGCAACAGTCTTCTGCCTGATTCTGATGTCGGTCAGCAGCCATCGTTCCACGAACATCCATTTTCCAAGGGCACTGGTACGGGAAGAACAAGATGGTTTCGCTCATCTTGTTACAGTAACATGGCATGAGTCCCCTGCCAGCAGACAGCCCTCTGCCACCGCACGGCTATAGACGATACCGGAGTCTCACCAGCTCTATGACGATAGATGACGATAGAAGATGATAGACGATAAGCGGCAACTGCTGGCTTAGATAAGCGGTCTGGACCGCATATGACGACACATGACGACATAGGTCTAGAAGACCTATTTATGTTATCAAGATAGAAGGCAAGCCTCATGCTGCCTCATGTACTGATAGAAGGATGCCTCATGGATCCTATCTACGATAGAAGCCCGCCTCATGGACGCTATCTCTGACTCATGTAGATAAGCAGATTAGAACCCAGCTTTAGGCTGAGCTTAGATACGAAGAGTAGCCTTATATAAGGTCGAAGATTAACAGTAGACGTTCCTTACTTTAATCTTACTAGGTTTACCCTTGAACTCCTTGTGCCGCTAAAGCTACCTGCCCAACATCGACTCGTACCTTCAGTGATGCCTCTCACTGTTTGTAAACACTGCTATCATCTCAGCGTAACCCCTCGTTAACCACCACGAGCTACGTTCGAGTACGCAACCTTTGCTTGTCTGTAAAGGCCGACGACTCTCAGCACTTGGTACCACTGTCGTGGTTGTCGCTGTTTAGATCATCCTAGTTGCACACGACCGTTTGTCATAACACATCTAGTGCACAACAGCTTCTCCATCCGAATGAGGACCTTCCCGCTGTAGTCGGAGACCTGTACTTACACACCAACACCCGCTCTGGAACCACATATATATGGATCCTGCATCCTGATGAGGGCTGGGTCCCTGTTAAACGAGGTTGCGACCATCCGGTTCAGACTGCACCTAGGAGGCGTTTACGAATTCGCAAAGATGGTGACCCAAGCTGGGTCACAATTCGATCATTAATTTCAATGCAGTCAAGAGAACACCATCGTTGATGTAAGGCTGATAGGAAAGTTGTTATAGTGGTAGAATTGCTCAAATGCTCCATCCTTACTATATGTAGATGTTCGAATTTTCAATTTATTCGGTTGCCTTGCTGGATTTTATATTTGTCTGGATCAGCCATGCAAACTTACACCGCAAACTGCCGCCAGGCTCTGGTATAGCTCTGAACTTCAGATATCTGCCACAGGGTTTTCTCGCAGCCTGTGTGAGAGGACTTGCTTACAAATGCGATTGGCTAGCACTATTCGAAAAAAGTGATCTGAGCAGGAATCGAATATGGTCCCTCATAGGCATTGCTGGTCCAAACCCTGTCCTCAAATGTTGGTAGTCTAATAAACAAGACATCCTTGCTTTGTTTTGAAGTTATCATCTGGAAAAAGCAATTCGGGTCGTAGTGCCACACCTGTAGGATTCAAAATTGAAATAGGTATGCAAGACAGGAAACAAACTGTAGTGACAAAACAAAGTTTGATTGAATGTAGAGATAATTTTTACTTTACTCTGTTAAAAAAACAAGCATAAAACAAAATCAGTTTCCTTTTTGTCACAAAATCAAAATTTGACCAAAGTCGACATTGACAGTCAACAGTCAACAAGTCAACAGGTCAATCAATATTGACTGGCACATAGATTGACTGTTGACTGTTGACTGTCAATGTCAACTTTGGTCAAATTTTGATTTTGTGACAAAAAGGAAACTGATTTTGTTTTATGCTTGATTTTTTTAACAGACTAAAGTAAAAATTATCTCTACATTCAATCAAACTTTGCTTTGTCACTAAAATTTGGTTTTTTCATGATGTATTAGAGAAAGAAAAGTGGGAGTGTAGGAAGAGAACAAGGTGATATAAATGAAAACTTGCCTAGAATTTGTTCAGAATGAAAGTAGCATGTTGCTTTCAATTACAGATACAATTCTCTCAGTTTAATTCTAATGACAGAAGAATACACACAGTGTTATTGCTGTTAAAATTAACTTACAATGAAAGCTTGAAAGTTATTAAAAATGTGATGACAATGGAGCTGTAAGGCAAAATGAGGTCAAAAACTTACAACAGAACAAATATAATATCTGATCACAAAGTGCAGACAGGCTGGACACAATTTTCATGTGGAAACACACCTCAAGTTGATATAAAGTAGGACAAATGTTGACAAAATTCTAATTGTTATCATAATTTTATGCAAGAATTAATGGTGATCTCAGTTTGTCTAAGATCACACTTTGTTCAACATTT